CACAACACCGGAACGCACTGCAGGCAGAATGTGCCCTGCGATCCTGTGCAGGCGATCAAATTGCGGCCGGAGGCTACAGCGCTATTCACTTCAATGGCCCGCCACGCCCCCTCCTGCCCAGCACAAAAGTGAGCCGGCTGCATTGCGATGCAGTGCGTTCCGGCCGGAACGCACTGTAAGTGGTCTGAACAGGCCCTAAGAGCCAGAGACTGTGTACAGTGACACCGGAAGTGATGTAATGCACATCACTTCCGGGTCCAGTGATCGGAGGAGAGATCCGCAGCTAGAAGCCACTGATCTCTCCTCCGATCTGTCAGGGGAGAACCTCCATGTGCGGCCTGGGCCCACACGAGGGACAGATGAGCCCAGGAAACTGACGGTGGCACCGGCGGCCGTGGAGGAGGGGGGGCACAGCGCTGCACCGTACAAGTGATTCAGCACCTGTACAGACGCCGGATCGCTTGTATTTAAACAGCAATCGTCAGCTGTTTAACACGGTACAAGAACATGGCTTCAGGAGCAGCCGTGTTCTTGGTATAACCACTTCCAGCGGATGACGCACAATTACGTGAACCCGCGGGAAGTGGAACACACACATATCACACACACATATCACACACACTCATTAAAAAAACACACACATAGCTTCATTAAAAAAAAAAATCACACACATTCATTAAAACACACACAATAAAAACACACACACATTAACAATTAAAATAGTTATTTAAAAAACGTCCCCCTCTCCTGCTTACCTGTTTTGCAGGAAGGGGGGCAGCATCCCTGGGCTTCAGTGGAGAATCGGTGTGCTCTGTACTCTGGCTGATGCAGGCATACTAATCGATCCCTGCCTGATAGCAGAGGCACCACAAGGGAGCGATCAGTATGATCTGCATCAGCAAGACATGCAGATCATGCTGATTCCCCACCTGACGACCAGGGAATGATTTTCATTCAATATATTGCCTGTGGGCGCTTGCCAGCTTTAAAGATGGCCGCCGCTAATCGCAGCGGCAATCATTAAAAACGAATGTACAGTGGAGAGACCCCAAGGGGACACCGGAGGAGGCATCCCAGGTGAGGGTCTGGAGCATGCGGGCCCTGGCCTCCTCCGGTGCTGCGGGGGGCCCGGCCACATCCTGGCCTGTCACTTGAACGGCCGATACTCATGTAAGGTGCCCGGGCTGGGCCCTTAAGCCTGGCTGGGCCCCTTACATCAATATCGGCCGTACCCCCCTGACGGCGGCCCTGATCTCCTTATTGAGACCCTTAAAGCTTGGCTCCCTGTCCACCCACATGACCTGGCACTCAGTCGTCAAGTCCTCAAACAAGCTTTCCTCTGCATGAAGGTGCATTCCCGCTTTTCAATGTTTTTGTTTAGATACACTTTAAAGTGGAACTGAACTCAAAAAGTGATGATGTGGTGTGGTATATGGAATATCTAAAAATTTAAATTGTGTCTAAGCAGTATCCTGAAAAATGTACCCTTTGTCTTGATTTTCTCCTGAAAAATAGCAATGCACTTCCTGGTATGTGAATATTCCTATTCAATACTGTACATACAGTCTCATAGGTGTATATCTAAAGTGTGAGATCTAAGGTACTGCTGCCTCTGACTGCTAGTCTCAAGAAATATGAAATGAGATTTGATGATGCCACTACTGTGCTACTCACTTTTCCTTTGCTGTAGGCTCTGGCATTAGAAACAAAACCCTACCTCTACCAAGGATAGCTTCCTTTGCACGGAGACATAGTACAGAACAAGGCACGGTAAGTGAGTAATGAGGAAAAGATAATCAGCAGGGAGATCACAAGCAATACTTATGACTAACCCTTTCCCTCTGCCTTCCTCTTTTGGGCACAACTTCCAGAGTTCAGTTCCTCTATAAGATGCTAATTTGCTAAAGGTGTCATTTTAAATCTTTGTGGAGTCAGCCTGGGTTTTCTTCAAAATGTCCAATCATGTGCAGAGAAAGTTCTTTTTTTAGATTGGTTCCCAGGCACGTGAATGAGTGTTTGAAGAGAACACAGAATTCAACTCGCTAAAAAAGAACAAAGAAAAAAAAACATAAAACACAAATTGTGCCAGGGAGCATTACAGCTGATATCTGTGAACAGCTGAGAAACACTTACCAAAAGTACCTCAGTAGATTCTTCTATTTCTCCTTTCCATATGTACCTGTGAAATAGACAGTAAAGTGTATATATTTAAAACCACCTGGCTATATGGAACACTTACTAAATAATTATTATGTTATGCTTCACATTCATTCATTTTCAAACTTTGAATGGAGTGAGGAAGGGTTAGACCCTTTAATAGGTTATTATTGCTGTATGTGTTCCACCTGCAGAGATTCTCTGCACTTCCTTTCCCAATGATCATACAGGAAGGGCTGGATAAATATTTTGATTTCTTTTTTATGTGACTAAGAATAATATAAAACAAATAAAGGTATTTATGAGTGATTTTAATGATGGGGTGATAGATTGATGAATAGGGACAATGATGGAGGACATATAAATATATGTTGCAGACTTGCCCAATACCTGAAAGAGGTTGTAACTGTTCCTTTTTCCACCCACAACTAGAAAAAAAGTTTTGGTTGGTGCTCCACTTTGAATGATAAAAACCCATTTAAGACAAATGTGACATTTAAAACAATAAACTTAACATTTAGCCCTCATTCGCACGACTAACAGCTGGCCCGTACAGATCCGTGCTGCATGCACGGCCGTATTGAGCCGCTCCCGGGAAGGACAGGTGCTGAGTGTGATTTGTATGCAGCAGCCTGTTCTTCTCTATGGGAGTATGCGGCCGTACGCTCACCCGAACTGCACGGCCGTGTGGGTGCTGTTGACCTTACCCGTACGCAGACAGGATGGATCATGTCTGAGTCCGAGCAGGGACAACCACACCCGCGTGCAGTTCGGGTGAGCGTACGGCGGCGTATGGCCGCATACTTCCATAGAGAACAGGCTGCTACGTGCAAATCACACTCAGCACCTGTCCTTCCCGGGAGCGGCCCAATACGGCCGTGCACGCAGCACAGGTCTGTATGGGCTGGCTGTTAGTTGTGTGAATGAGGGCTTATAGAATACATAAAGTAGAACTATAGCCTCCCAGTAAAGAAAATATGTACTGCAGTACTTAATTATAGGTACACCTGTACTTACAGTTTTCTCTTAGTCCCCCCATGCAAAGTCCCACAAACCCCTGTTGAACCTGGCAGGGAAGTCCACCTAATGCAGCTTCCTGTTATGGTGTGGCAACGATGTTGCCCTCCTCCTGAATTCAAAATTTAGTTGCCACTGTCATGTAGGCTGTGCCTGCTTGCACTACATTGGGATGAAAGAATGTTGCCAGAGGTGTGGTTATCAGCACTGTTACTGCTGATTTTGATTTATAAGCATGTCACTTGTCAATCACCTGGCCACACCTTGCCCTGCCCACTGCTTTCTTGATTGACATTACTGCCTCTGTTGCTGAAACCTTTCCAGTGAGAGCTGCACTCAGCGGTGTATTTAACTTTGGTGCTGCCCTGGGCAAGGCAGCAATGCCGCCCCCTCCCCCC